ATCTCTCAGGTCTTTACCATTCACCTCTGGCTGGGCAGGGACATAATCACTTCACATTCTACATAATCTTAATTCTGTGAGTCACTATCTCAGATCTCAGTAGCATATATTAATACTAGGGATCAAGTGTAGCTTTAAGAGCAGTGGGTACCTTAGAGCTTCTCGCAACAGGTGAGCTGTATTGCAAAGTGCTGGCCTGTAAATGGACTCTAAACTAGAAATTGATCCCTTATGGCTTTAATGGCTGCCATAACTATGTTAGGAAATTTAGTGGAGAGGAAAGAATTGGTCTGTTAGTAATCTGTGAAAATAAGTCTTTAATGTAAAATTCTATCACTCCTGGCAATTAAACAAGATTTGAAAGGTGAATGTAGGAAGTGACAATATTCCCCAAAAGAGCACATTTTTAACCTGATCTATGTTTGTCTGTTTTTCAACAGTTCAAGGCCTGGCAGGCCCCCTAAGCGTTCTTTGGGAGTGTTGCAGGACAATGCCCGCCTTCTGCCCCATGCAGTCCCAGGCCTCTTATCACCAGGACTTATCACTCCAACAGGTAATAAAATCCATCCGATGATCAGCCTTGTCTCTTCATACTGCCCAGCATTTGAAATAAACTAATATTGATCTAACTGCCTTGTCCTTCAGAGCTTTTCAAGCTCTACTAGAGGTTACATTATCGAATTTTTTGAGTACTCATGAAAACAACTTTTGTTACTCCAGTGACTCAAATCAAATGGACGTGATTTAAAAAAATAATTGTCATATCCTTGCAGAAAATTCCTTTCAAGGCCTTATTGTATGTATGTATGTGTACGTTTGTGTGTTGGGGATAGGGAGGGGGCACTGGCTAAAATGGCATCCTCTCAAAATCTCCTCTAGGATGCAGCACACCAGCTTACTTATATGTCTCAATAATATTCTTTTTGTTTTCTGGGGTTCTGGGCATCCATGTATGCTTTCCAAGTTATTATTCTAGATTAAAAGGTAGAAAAAAAATGTGTCCCTGGTAGAGGAGCCTTATGATTAGAAAAGAAAAAGGTGCAGGTGGTCATTGCCCTGAATGATGTTTTAGTGTTTTTCATCGAACACTGTGAAAACTGGTAAAAATACCAGTCTCATAAATTAGCAATGAACTTTTTTGATTCCCTAAAAAAGTACCTAAAATTAGACAAAAACACTTAAAAATACACTTAATATTTCTCCAATCGAAACTTCAAAAATCATTAAAGCTATTATATGGTAGAAAATGAATTTAATGACAATGAAATTTTTATATATACCTTCCATGATACAAACGTTTATAAAGCACCCACTGTGTTTTGAGTATTAATTCTTAAATAATGCAAAAATATACTGAGTAGTCGTCCTTGTCACAGTAGAATTAGGGAGAAAGGAATGTAAACTAATAATTGCATTAAAGTGTGATAGTGGCTATAATACAAGTACATGAAAGATGCTGTGAGATCACAGAGATGGAAGCAACTACATCAGTTTGGTAAGCTGGGAAGTGCTGAAAAACGTGGAAACTTTGAAGCTATGTCTTGTTGGCTGGGCCTTGGACAGATGGAGAATCAGGGGAGGAGCTTTCCGGGCAGGTAGAAGAGTACAGACAGATATACACTGAGGAGAATGAGCCCAGTATAGTAGAGGGAGTAGCAATTAAGTTGAAGAGATTGGAGCAGAGATTTGAGGTGGGAGACTTACAGGTGATGTGGTTAGAATAGAAAGGGGAGGGAAAAGCCAGCTTGTGAAACCTGCTTTTGGTTTACTATGTTAAACAGTTTACGTCTTTCCATATAGACCGGTGGTTCACAAAGTGTCTTTCAGGACTTTCCTTATGGGCTGACATGGAATTGGGGAAGCACTTCCAGGTTCCACACTTCTGCCTCAGTTAGAATTTTATATGTTCTAGTTCACATAGGATTTTGTTTTGTTTTGTTAAAAAAAAAGTAAACTTTTATAGGTAAGAGGAACCGTCGCTAAGAAAGTGAGTAAATGTTCTAAAAACAATTGCTATGGAGTGTATGGAGCAATGAAGGTGGTGAAAGACAAGATCGGTTGTTAAACTTCAAGGAAAAATAAGAGCCTGAATTAATTCAAATTCAATAGAATGGAAAAGAGGTTCAGTGTGCTTCAGTAATTAGAATTAATCATGTGATAATTGATTAAACATAGTGAGAGGGTGGAGTCTAATATGAATCATGTCTAGCTGGGTTGACAGGCTGGACGATGGTATCATTAGCTAAGATAATTTAGGAAGAGACTCAGGTTTTGAGGGGAAGAGCATGAATTTGTGGCTTTAAGTATTGATAAACAAATTCTGATATGATAAGAAAGTAGCCCTTTGCACATAAATGAATACAGAAGAAATAATAGTGTCTGAAATATATCATGCTGCTCAATAAATGATAATCTATTTCTTGGCTTTAAAATACATTGCCAGAGCCTAGAAATAGCACCATGTAAATAATCAAATCTGTGTCCCAGTTTTGAGGGAATGTGTAGATGAAAGAAAGAAAGAATTTTAAAATTGCCTTGAATCTAATCCAGTCTTGAGTAAACATTAGTAGCTTATCTGTCAAGGAAAAACTTTAATATATATTAAGTTCCTATTA